AACAGGTTCAGACCTGACCCTGATCTTTAACAGAGCTGGTCTTCCCTAGCAAACATGACTCTCCAGGCCAATCAGATTACCTCCGCCTTCCAGCACCCGTGTGAACTGGCATCACAGGGAAGCTGGCTGGGCCGGCTCAGGTGGGGCAGCCTGGGGCCTATGAGGTATGATTTGAAGGCCTCAGGAAAGGCCGCCCTAGCCTGAAACCTCTCCCCTACTGGCTTGTCAAGGATGTCTGCAGTTTCACTATTACTGAGTAATTCCTTTGTGTGTACCACAGGCCCTCTCCTTGCCATCCTTCTGTAAATGCTACAGGGTGGTCTGGGATCCAGGATGCCCTTAACCCTCTCCCCTTAAACTGTATGTTTAATCTCTTAAGTAAACCACAAACTCATTTCCACTTTTTCCAGTTTTATTGAGATACGTCGGTGTATAACATGGTATTAATTTTAGGTGTACAAAGTAATGCTTTGATCTCTGTTTATATTGCAAAATAATTCCTACGATAAGTTTAGTCTCAGTTGTGCTTTTTCATGCTAAACCTCTCTCGAGTCGCTTCACCTACTTTATTCCCTATGCTGTTCAGCTTAGACAGGAAGTGAAGCAGAAGCCAGGTGGGCTGGTGTCGGAACTGGGACCGAGAAGCCAAGGGAGGGGCAGTGAGGATGCTGAGGGACCGGCAGCTCTCACCGGGCTTCCAGCACAGTAAAGGCTGCTGGGCTCTGCTCTGGCGCCAGATGGCACATGATAGGAGATGTTCTCCCTGCTTTTATTTTTATTAATTTTTTTTGTAGGAGGGGGCGTAATTAGGTTTATTTATTTATTTATGTTTAAAGCAGGAGGTGGGGAGTGAACCCAGGACCTCGTGCATGCTCTACCACTGAGCTATACCCTCCCCACTTCTCCCCGTTTTTGGCCAAGGTGGAGCACTGCCAGCTCCTACATCCACTCCTTTCCCCTCTAATCTCACTTCCACTCACTTTCCTCTTACTGTCAGTCCCTCTGTCCCCTAACCCGTTGGCTCTTGGCCATCATCATTCTAAGTGGCCTCACTCAGGAAGGGAACTCTCTTTGGGTGGCCCCAAAGAGCCAGGAGCTCCTAAGCCAGACCAGAGCTCGGCTTCACCCTTTTCCACTTGGTTCCCAGTCCCTCCACAAGGCCTGGGGAGAGGCAAGGGAGCTGCCCGGCTGCAGACACTCCAACTTGTGCAGCTAGGTGGAGCAGACGCAGCGAGGGCTTAGTGAGGGGCCAGCCAGATGCTATGACCCTGCACTGAAACCTTAAACCATTCCCATCTCTTCCTCCTTCCCTGGTCCAGAAGAGATGGCGGGAGCCCACCTATGTCATCCTCTGGCCTCTGGGCATATTTTATCAATCCCTGCCTCTCTCCCAGAGACTCCCCCCACCCCAAAGGAGATGATGCCATAAATGCTCTGTAATATAAACTCCATGAATTCAGATATTTTTAACGTTTCCCAGTCTAGAACAGTCTGGCTCATAGTCAGTGCTCAATCAGTATTTGTTGAATGAACCTCCTCTTGTTGAAGGAATCACAGCTGGTAAAATCCATCCAAACCTGATAAACATATGATGGGGCAGGCAGACATTTTTAAAGCTAACATTTCTAAAGATTTAATTTTTAATTACACCATACAGCAATTCTTTTTTAATAAACAATTCAAACAAGGGACGTTCTCTTTTTCCCAAGCCCAATTGTACACACTCTTGAGTGCTCTCTGCCGCCATCATCATGGCATGCTCCCTGCACACTTTGCTCAAAGCTTTGGACATATCTGTATTGTAATCTAGTTGTTTATATCTGTATAGTAACCCAGACATCTATAGTTTGGTGGGTTAAAAGCACACAAATAAGACCATACCATGTTGTTTTGCAATTTGCTTTTTTTCCCTTAACAATGTGTTTTGGAGATGTTCCATGTAGGTCAATACAGATCTGTTTCATTCTCCTTCACTGTTGTGAAATATTGCATAGCCTAAATGAAGTATCGTATGTTGTATGTTGTTTTCTGTGTCTGCAAACATCACAGTACATGCCACTTTGAGCACATGTACAAGGCTTTCAATCGGATACTTAGTGATGGAAGTGCTGGGTGAAAGAGCATGCGCACTGAGCATTTTACTAGCTGCTCCCAGTTGCCTTCGCCAAAGGCTGTATCCGTGTACATTCTGGGTGTGAAAGTCCCTGGTTTCTCCATACCCTTATTTTTTTTCCTTCTCTTCCTAGGATTTTTTTCCTTGTCTTTTTTTCTTTTAATTGAAGTGTAGTTAGTCAGTTTACAAGGTTGAGTCAACCTTATTGGTTTTTATTGAGCTCTTTTATTGTATTTTATTTTTTACCAATCTGTTGGTCAAAAAACCTGATCTCATTGTTAGAATAAAAATTTCAGGATGGGGAGAAGGTATAGTTCAGTGGTAGAGCACATGCTTAACATGCATGAGGTCCTGGGTTCAGTCCTCAGTATCTCCATTTAAAAAATAGTAAATAAATAACCTAATTACCTTTCCTCCCCCACCTCAAAACAAACAAACAAAAATGTAATAACAAAAGTGAAAATGAAATTTTAAAAAATTTCAGTCCAATCTTCTTGGCCAGGAAATTGTGATTCACATGAGTTAACATAGTCACATATAGTAATAATATTATTTAACCATTATGTGCTTTGTTACCTAGTAACTAGCCAGGGCTCTACCCTTTTGCATGGGAATATAGTTATGTATCAGTTTTCTCCACACTTCCACTGTGACTTGTAGATGTAAAACACCAGGTCTGGGGTCTTGGAGAGCCTTGGGGGAATGCCGCCCCTCCACCTTTCCCCTGTGTATCCTCTCTTCTCTGGAGTGGATCCAGAGTTCTTTGGCCACAGCCTGCCCTTCCTCCACATCCTTTCCTGCCACACAGTGGTCATGTCCTGGAATGACAACGCCAATTGTCCAGTCTCACCTAAAGGTGCGTTCTCTGCTCCCTGCCTCTGGGTTTCTCCTTTGATCAGCGCAGAACACATCAGCAGAAGGCGTTGGTTTTGTCCCTTGCTTGGCTTAGATGATATCACCTCATCTTCTGGTACATTAGAAGCTATACCACTGGCTGGATCCTGCCTTAATCTTTTCCAAGCTCATGCATCATGTAGTACAATGTTTTCCACAAAGAAGTAGATTTGAAAAGGAAAACTTTGAGCCTTTAATTTTTAACACTGTTTAATATCCTAACTCTTACTCTTCTTGGTCTCCATCTCTATATCATGTTCTTTCTTCTATTTTTCTGAACCTTTGTATTCAGGAAAACACCAAAATGATGGCTGTGGAAGGATTTTTATCCCTGAAATTTTTCTCTGGGCATGGCTCTCTGTTACTAAAATACAGCTTAGAATCATTTAGTGCCTTAATATTAATCTCCGGGGATTGAATTGGAATTGTTGCTTAGTATGGCTGGATTTAATAATGGCTTCCTCATGAAGTTTGCATTTTTAAAGGGAGCGTAGGATTTTAAGGCAGTGCGACTTGTTTTGATGGTTTCAGATTAATTTCATATTTGTGTCAAAAAAACTATTTGCTTGATGATTTGTTTCTTTTCTAAATTAAATTGGAACTGAATTTGTTTCCTACCTCTTTATCTAATCCCACTATTACAGAATCTTTGTTTTGCTGATTTAGTAACATTACTCTGTTATTTCTCAAGCACTCTAGTTTTGGCTACAAGTTATGCCAACAGGACACTGAGAGGCAATCTATCTAATTAGCTAAGAACCATACTTCCTTCAGGATGGCTTCTTATTTTGGATATTCTGGTAACTTAGCCTTGGACTTTTTTTCTCTCTCATATTTACTAGTATATGCTGTAAAACATGAATGAATAGTTTAATGATTTTGAGCATGGTTTGTGAGCTGGATAGCCTGGGTTCTAATCTCCACTCTGCCACTTCCTAGCCGTACAATCTTGGGCAAATTACTTAAGTTATCTGTGCCTCAATTTTCGTGTCATGTGCTGATAAAGAAATACAAGTGTCATTGGGTTGAAAGAATCTATTTTCCTTCCTTCCTTCCTTCCTTCCTTCCTTCCTTCCTTCCTTCCTTCCTTCCTTCCTTCCTTCCTTCCTTCCTTCCTTCCTTCCTTCGTCAGTCATCTATCCAAGCCACAGACATTTCCAGAGTGCCTGGGACACTGTGCTAGGCTCTACAAACAGGGATACAAGACAAATAATCCATGGCCCCAGCCCTTAGGAAAGTCTAACGAGGGATTTGCTTATTACTTATGGTGAGACTAGACCATCGGTAAGAAGAAAGCATGAATAAGAAAATTCACCAATTTGAAGTTGAAAATCCAGGCTCGTTCCATTCATCAACCTCTAAATTACTTTCTCCTGAGAAGGAGTAATTTCTTGGGATGATGGTCAACTTGAGCAAACACACGAAAACAATAGCCTGTTAAAGCTATTGCTAGTAACCGTGTCCTCCACGAACTGGCTTCCATGTTGCTGCTGGACAGGACTCTGGCATTGGCCAGGGAATCCTGTGCCCAGGTGGGCTTTCCTTCCCAGTGGGACCTCTCCTCCAAGATGGTGATGGCTCCTGCATTGGAGATCTACCACATCCTTCTTTCTACATATTCTTCGCTTGACGGCCTCTCGTTCCTGGGTGTTGAGTTGCACCTTAGCTCTTTTCTTCTACTGCTGCAAAATCCTTGCGGACAAGTACTGGGTCTGCTAAACTGGTGAACCTGAAATGGTGTTGTCCCCTTTGTATAAGGGTCACCGGACTTTCACAGAGGATGTCTTTCAGCTGGTGCCAGCTCCCATCTTAAGATCCTATTGTCTCTTCTACAGGCAGAGCTTCCTAGTGAGGGTAGACTGGACTGGGATGCAGTGGGGCCTAAAGGTGGGGCCTCTGGTTTTTCATATACCTGTGGTAGGCATTTGAGGAATCTTAATTGATTAGATGATTTGCTGTGCGACCTGGTAACAATCCTTGTCCTTGTTGTTAGAACACACCACAGCCATCAGCCCTGGAATGCAGAGACCAGAATAAACCCGAGGAAGCCACCAGCCAAGCCCAGGCAGTGTCAGGCTCCACCCCAAACACAGGTGAGAGAAGGTGGTGGGACTGAAATAATGATAACCTTAATTGTAATGATGGTACCTCCATCCAGACATGAGGTTCACCGAAACTTTTACAGATGACCACGCCTTCCTGGGCCAGAAGTCACACTCAGGAAGGAGCTGGTTCAGGATGCCAGGGCCCAGCCCTTCCCTCTCTAGGACCTAGAAATTCAAATCCTCTTTTTCTCTGAGCTGTTTGAAAGGCCTACGGAAAATGCACTAAAGAAGAATAACTGACTCTTTCCAAACGATTCTTCGGGGTTTCTTTGTACGGAGGGCTGTTAACATTTGTGGCATACATATGTGGGCCATTTCCATGCTTTTAGGACAGCATCTGTGAAATTCAAGTTCGGGGTGGGGCGGAGCCCAGAGACTTAGAGCTTCAGGGTTAGTATATCTACTTCTAGTGAAGCTTCAACAGTGTTTAGAAAAAAGTATTTTTGATCCTGTAAAGCAAATGCTTTTCTAGGCTTCCAGAGGGGAGACACCCACACGAAGAGGGAGATGAGAGGGAGAAGAAACAGGGCATGGGAGTCCTGGGCATAGGGAGCTCAGTTTGGGCCATAGGCAGGTTTGGGGCGGGCAGGACCATTAAGCTGTATTTCAGACAGTTGCAAACATTTATAAATCAGGAGATTTCATAAAGAAAATTAAAAATGTGTTCAAGAGGAACAGTCCATCCTCTCTTAAAATGTTGAAATCGTCACCCAGCCTGTATTCCACGTGGCACCATCAGCTCCACTGGGGAGCTGGAGCTTCTTGTCCCTCCGCCCTGCAGACGCCCCCTCCTTCTGGGCATTGGCCTTGGCTCCCAAGGTGAATCCCTCCAGGGGTTCTGTGTATCCCCTTCCTTAACCCCCATCTGTCACCCCTACTCTTGCGGGCACTCCACCTCTATCCTGGCATCTCCTTTTGGCAAGTAAATCTGCGCATGCCCCTCCGCCTTTAAAGAAACTCTCCTCCACCCCTCCCCCATCTTGCTGTGGTATTGTCCCTGTAAAACCAACCTGCTTGAAAGGGCCACCTGCTTTTTCCCTCACTTCTTCCTCCTGTCTCACTCACTCCAGTGCCCTACTCCCTCCCATGGGGCTTCCCTTGTCTCCACCCAGAGCTGTTCTCACCCATCCTTCATTCTGTCCAGGGCAGCCTCGGGGCGTTTGGTGCTGTGCCCCTCCCTCCTGGAACACTACCCTCTCCTCAACTCAGTGACCTCTTTTTCATCTGCACGGTTAGGACCACTTGGCCCTCCCTTCCCAGGACCCTTATGGCCTCTTCTCTACCCACAAGCTCACAAATGGTAGAATTTCTCAAGGACCTGTCCTGGGCTCTTCATTGTTCTTACTCTGGACTCTTTGGGCAACCTCTCGGGGCCACTGATTCTCAAGCCTGCCTTCCAGAGCTGGGCCCACCTCTGCCTCTCCTCCCCCTGCTAACCCGATCATCTCTGTAACCATCTGGTTGCCACATTAGTCACCCTCCTCCTTGGCATCCCTGACATCTTTGGTTTTCATTATTTACTGCCGTCACCTCCTAACTGGCCTGCCTCCCTTAGATCTTTTCCTCCACGGACGGACAGAGTGAGCTTTAAGGAGAGGCCAGTCTAAAATAAAAATCATATCGTGTTACTCCCCTGCTTAAAATTCTTCAGTGGCTCCTCTTGGCTTTCAGGATGAAGTTCACATCCTTGGCTTAGCATCCAAGGCTGCCGTGACCCACTTCATCTCAGCGCCCACGGCTTCCTGTGTGCACCTTTCACCCTAGGCATATCAAAGTGCTTGCAGTACCGAATTCAGGATGCTGGTCCCTGCTTCTGTCCTCACAGTGTTCCTCCACAATCCTTCTGCCCCCTGTTTCACTGGGCCTTTGAGTCACCACCCCAGGCTTACTGAGCCTCCAGGTATGGGCTCAGTGCCCCGTCTGTGTGCCCTCCCATGGTGCTGGGCACCCCTGTTTCAGCTCCCACAGTGCTGGGTTTCTGCTAGCCTTCACATCCACTGAGGACTCAGGAAGGTCCCCAGCATGCCTGGCACATAAAATAGAGAGATGATGGCATGAACTTCTGGCTGGCTTCACCACACTCCCACGCCTGCATCCTCCTCTCTTGCCCTTTAGGGAGCAGATTCCAGCTTCTCACAGTGTTTGTTTCCAGCACAGTGCTTTTTTCTTGTACGATGTGTGTTGACATTTATTAAGTGTCTTTTGAGATTTAAAGATGATTGGGATTTGACCCCCTTTCCCCAAAGGGGGATTATTCACTGGATACATAATATTTATATCTTCTATGAGCATTTTTCAAGAGCCAACACGGAAGGAGGTAGGTTAAAGCAGTCAGGCACAGGGGTTCACATAAAGTCTGCAGAGCTAGAAGAACTGGCAGTGGCTTTTCATCTTCACGTGCTTTGGTTTAAACTGCAGGAGAAAGATTATAGCTATCTTGGCTGGGAACTCATCTCCCAGCCAGGTCACAGGTCTTTTTCCCTGATCATGAACGTTTCTTTAGAAACCTGCTTGCATCTCTTATTTTCATGGGCTTTGAAGCTGGAATTTCATGTAAACATGACTTTGCCAGAAATGAACTCTTCCTGCCCCTGTCAGTGGCCTCCAGCTTTCTCTAAATCAACTTCTCAAGAGGATTCTGCCGTTTCCCTGAATAGTTAAAAACAGATCAGAGCTTGGGTTGGCTTTCTTACAGCAATGCTGTAAGCATGTCAGCTGTTGTCATGAAGAGTCATTTGGGTACAGAAGTGGAAAATCAGTGCATTTGATCAGAGAGCCGTTGCTGGCTTTGGAGATAAGGCTGTGGGGCTTTTGAATTGAGTCATCTGTCTGGTCACACCATGTCTTAAATGCTCAAGAGGGTTCTGAAGGATGAAACGCTGGAAAGTTGAAGTTATAACGGTCAACCCCAAAGTCACGATGTTGCTTGTCACACTGTTTGGTGCTGAGCGCTGCGTAGCCTAGTAGTTGAGAGTTCTACTCTGAAACCGGACTGCTGGGATTTGAATCTGGTTTCTGCTACTCTAACCTTGGGCAAGTTCTAGTTTCCCTATTTGTGAAATCAGGATGATCAGAGAAATTGCCTTAGGTGGTGCTTGGGAGGATTAAGCCAGTGAGTAGCTGTGCGGTGCTTGGACACAGTTAGTGCTCAGTACTCTGAGTTCTTGTAATTATGCCCTTTTATCAGCTTCACGTGGGACTGTTAAGCGAGATGATGACTTTCTTTAGGTCACCAAAGCTGTCATCAGACCTGACCACCGTTGCTGGTCCACAGCGTCCCTGCTCTTGATGTTTGTTTCAGTCCTCTTTGCTCACTTTGCTTCTCTGACCATCTTATTCCAGTCCTGTCTCTTTCATACAGTCCTTTCTGCCTGGAATAGGCTTCAGTTTCACCTCTTTCCCACCCTCAGTGCTCTGCCTCTCCTGATGCTGAAGTCCTTTTGGTGGAATGGGTACCAATACTCTTCATTCACTGCTAACCACGCGGCAACTGTAGAATGATTTTTTAAAAAATTTGAGTTTGTATTTATAAATGTCCGAAGCTTTATAGGGCCCTTGCCAGTGGACTAACCTGTGAGAGTGCCATCTATTTTTTAAAAGTTGTAAACTATGCGTAAGATTTACCGTTTTAGCCATTTTTAGGTGTACAGTTCAGTGGCATGAAGTACATTCACGTTGTTGTGCAAACATCACCACTCTCTGACCCCAGAACATTTTCACCGTCCCAAACAGAAGCTCTGTACCCATGAAACAATGACTCCCCCTGCCACCTCCATCCAGTTCCTGACAACCACAATTCTGTCTTCTGTCTCTGTGGATTTAACTACTTTAGATCTCTTGTGCTGGTGGAATCATACATTGGTCCTTTGGCGGCTGGCTTACTTCACTTAGCATAGTGTCTCCAAGGTCCAACCATGTTGTAGCCTGTGTCAGAATTTCCTTTCTTTTAAAGGCTGACTTGTATGTATTTTTTTGTTTTTTTTTGGGGGGGGGTGGAATTAGGTTTATTTATTTACTTATTTATTTTGATGGAGGTACTGGGGATTGAGCGCAGGACCTTGTGCATGCTAAGCATATACTACCGCTGAGCCATACCCACCCCAATTGTATGTATATGCCATGTTGGGCTTATCCACTAATCTGTTGATGGACATTTGAGTTGTGTCCACTTTTTGGCTATTCCGAATGATGCTGCCATGAAATTGGTCTACATGTATCTGTGTGAGTCCTTGCTTACAATTCTTTGGGTGCATTGGATATATTGGGTATTCCCAGTGGTGGAGTGGCTGAAGCATGTGGTTGACTTAGAAAAGGGTGACTTCATAAATCTAGAACAGAGCTTGAACACCTGGTGGGAAAATCCTCTCTTTACCTCCCTCCTCAACCCTCCCCTGACCCCCGTCCCTCCCACAGACTCTATCTCCATGAATGTCAACTTTACCCTCAGGTTTTTCAGGCTAAAACTGGTGTCATCCCGGACTTCTCTCATTCTTTTACATCCTACGTTTAGAGGATAAGGAATTCCCATTTGCTCCATCTTCCATCTGCTGCCTGGTTCCAGGCCATCACACATCTCATCTGGAGTCTGGCAATTGTTTCCTAACTGATCTCCCTGTTTCAGGCTTGGTCTTGTTCTGGTCTCCTCTGAGCACAGAAATAGGCTCAACCCTTTAAAACCTTTAATAATGTCTTCATTCCTCACTCAGGACCTTCCATCATCTCACTTCCCATCTCACTTGAGGCAAAATTCAAGTGCTTGCAAATGTCTCTTGGCCCTCACTGCCCTTCTGACCCCCACCTTCCCTCCCACAGGGAGTTCAGGCTACAAGTGTCCCCCTGCCCTTCCACCTCAGGGCTTTTGTGTTTGTGGAGAACTATGCCTGGAATGTTCTTCCCTTGAAAAACTCTCCTCCCTCCAGTGTCACCTGTCCGGAGAGCCCTTCTCTGACACCTTAAGTAAAGTGATAAGCCCTCATTCTCCAGGCTCC